TGGTCGTGACTGTATAGCCAAGAAATATACACATTCAATCTAGAGTCTACTAGGCAACTTCTTTGCAATGGGTTATTGAGTATCGCGCTGTAGTCAGAGGCTTGCAGCTCGGAAGTCAAGGCGCAGACTCGAACTGCATGGCTCGTCCTTCGTAATCACACAAGACATCGCGGGGGATTGAGCCCCACCTGCCCTGATACTCCTCGCAACGTCCCGTCTCTCCATCTCCTCTCCATTTCTCATCTTCCGGTCCTCTTAGTTTGTTTCCATCACAAATAACAGGAGCACCATGTCGGATAACGCATCGCAGCAATCTGTCATCTTGTCTGAGCACGCCTATGTCGACGGTGAAGACAAGCCGTTTCTCGAGGAGCAAGATGGTGAGCTTGACCACACAGTTCTCAGAGATCGCAAGATGCGCAAATCTGAGATCCGTTACATCACCGCAATCATGATTCTGTCATGTCTCGCCACCGTTGGACTTGTGACAAGTCTTATCCAGATGCTCCACAAGCACCCAGCAGCAGAGATTGAAGTCTCACACGAAACGCAGCTTTCTGTTGATATTTGCGAGAGCATGAATTGGCGCCGCGAATGGCGAACGCTTTCAGACGAGACTAGGATATCTTACACTTCTGCTGTCCTTCGGCTGATGTCCATGCCATCCAAGATAGGATTTAGTAACCAGTCGCGGTACGACGACTTTCAGTTCATCCACGGTATGACGTTAGACTACGGTATGTCAACCTTCAGAATTATCGATCTGGTTCGCGGGGCTAACAGATCCCCAAGCCCATCGTCCCGGTGTGTTCCTTGCATGGCATCGCTTTTTCATCAAAACCTTTGAAATTGTCCTTCGTCACGAAGCTGGGTACCGAGACCATTTGCCGTGCGTATCAGATCCAGCAAAGCCATCGAATACAATGACTAATGCGGCTTGATAGATACTGGGACTGGACTCTCGACTATAAGAACCTGTCCGCAGCTCCCGTGTTCGATGATGTTACCGGCTTCGGCGGGAATGGCGACCCAACTTCCAACGAGCCCTCTTGGCGAGGTTACTGTGTTACTACTGGACCGTTTGCCTACCATCAAGTGCCGTATCGTTACGTGGAAGTCGCGCCCCACTGTTTGTCTCGAGACTTTGCGAAGGATGACTTCTTAAAGACCATCAGTTGGGGCATCTCACCTGAGTCAATCAGCGAGTTGTTAAACCAGAATAAGTTCTCGCGCTTTACCAACATGCTAGAGAGCCAGAGCATGCATCTCCCAATCATAAAGTTCATCGTGGGTGACTTCTCGACGCGTGCAGCACCTGGCGGTAAGTGTGAATAACAAAGAGATTTTGAGACTTGCTAACAGAGTCCTCGCTCAGAGCCCCTATGGTTCTTGCATCATTCACAGATCGATCGGCTTTACTGGCTATGGCAGCAACAAAATCCTCGATCGCAGCTTCCAAACTTTGACCCTTTTGGCGATTTCACCCCGGAAACGACTTTGCCTGATGTAACTGGCGACGAGTTGATGGATATCGGTGCACTGAGCAAAAAGATGACAGTCAAGTCTATGTTTGATACAAGGTCGGACTATTTGTGTTATGGTTACAAGTGAGGACTGAACTTATATTTGTGATCGATGAGAGACGGGAAAAGATTGATCGAATTGGTCAACCGACTTAATACCTTCTGGTCGTTGCTCTTTGATAGATCGTGGTTATTACTGGAGACATAGTGGTTCGCAAAGAGAGTCCTCTTGTTTCCTGATTATATCACAAAGGTCGATTGATTCCATGGGCGCAGGCCTCAAACTCATCTCCGTTAACGTGAAGCGACTTCTACAAGATCGAGCTCAGTACGCCACTTCTACACGATCTGGCTAAGCTGGACCATATGATCACACCGCAGAGTCACATGATCCTCTCCAGATCCTGTCCTATTACTATACCTGCCGCAAAGCTTGGAGCTCACTAGATTCCTAAATACCTAAACATGTACTTCATTTCTCTCAAAGGCTTGCATTGTAAATACTGGATTATATCGGAATTATATCGGAAACTATCTCTGCATACAATCCACTCTAGTCAGAAAAGCGTTCTACATGTTGTTCCACTGTCATTCGCAAGCGATCTGACTGTGTCGCTCGAACCAGTCTTGAATTTACCATTCACTTCGGGTCGAAGGATTCCCTCGGCGACCGGTAGGTTGGCCAATCGAGCCCGAGCTCCGCGCAAGGTACCCTGAATAGCGGGAACGGGAATACATAGCGACATTCGAGGTAGAAAGTGGTCTAAGTAACCCGATTGGCTCATCTTGTTTCGCTTCAGTTCGACACGTGCCGGTCTATACTTCGGACTACTTGAAACACTGTGTCTCTTTCTCTCCCTCACCTTCTTCACGCAGGCCACATCCGTCATAACATCCGCTTTCCACCCCGTCGTATTCACGTTATACAGTTTCTTGATGTTTGCTCCATGTTCGCGCCCGCCTCGATACCACCAGAGGTAACCTTTTAGGCCCAAATCCCCTCGCCATGGTCAACTCTGGACGATCTCGCGCGTGCTTGACCTGTAAGAGACGGAAGATCAAATGCGACGAGAGCAAGCCTTCGTGCTCAAGATGCCTTCGAGCGTCTCTCCATTGCAAGTGGATCAAGCCGGTCCAGGCACCAGAGTATCGTTTCGTCGATACGACCGAAGCTATCGCCTCTCGACATGATTGCTCTCTTCTACAGCGCAGATTCTGGAGATCAACGGCACTCACGAGGGCACTGGAGGACGATCGGCAGACCCAAGCAATCAATTTTTTCGTCCGTCATTATATGTTAGANACCGAAAAAGACGGAGCACCAAGCGCAGGACTGTTTGGTCTCTTTCAGCCTGCATTCTCGGGGACTTCTCAAGACTCGTCCGCTGCTATGGCTATCTCTGCGCTTGCTCTCTCAATTTATGCGAGATGGCGCGTAGGTGAAGGGGCAGAGACCGAGAAGAGGGTGGCCAACATCTTAGGACGGGCAATCTACATACTCTCCAACGATCTCCAACTGGACGATAAGAGAAGGAACGATAATACTCTATTGGCGACTCTCACACTGCAGTTTCACTCGAGTTTTGAGTCCTTGTTTGGTTCGAATAAAGCCACTATTGTGCATCATTTAGGTGCACTCGCACTGGTCAGAGGTTTGGGACCCCCAGAATCATGGACGAGCCTTGCTAAACACTTTGTTGCTTATATTCTCCATGTTGAGGTTACAGCCGCTATTCGTGAACATCGCAGGGTCCATTGCGAGCTCTGCTACTGGAGTTCCGTCATGAGTGCGACCTCAGTGGAGCCTGATAGCCAGATCGATGCTCTTGGTGTAAGGGTGGCCGATGTCCAGTTTAGATCCGATGTTCTACTTCAGAGCAACAACACAAAGCTTGATATTGCTCCATCAGCTGATGTAGTGGAGAAACTCTCAAGCGAGGTCCAAGAGCTTGACAGGTGTCTGGTGCTTTGGCAAGAGCGAGTGTCGCATTTCTGGGGACCATTCTGCTGGTCTTCGGAAGATGTGATCTTCCCTCCGATACAGACATATAAGGGAGCCTGTCATGTATACACGTCAATTCGTGCAGCCAGGCTCATCAATATCTGGCGGAGTTATAGGCTGACACTCTCGCTTCTGTCTTTGCAGTTAATCAACCCGCATGGAGAATCGCGATCTTTCAAACTTGACAAGACAGAATCTATTGGAGCTATCCTTGTCAAGCGGATCCAATGGCTTGTTGATGGCTTCTGTGCGTCTGTGCCCTTCTTCCTTGGAAACAGGACCAGGATCGGCACAGTGGTGGACTTTGATGATCCAGCCTGGAGGTTTCCTACCTGCCATGATACGGGCAGATTGCGTGACATGGAAGGCCAGCCAGCACAACCAAGAGGCCTGGAGTCAATAGCAGACCACAGAAGCCAAGCGATCGCTCAAGGTGTCTGGCTGATCATGGGCAACCTCACACAATTGGTTGCGTTTTTCCTGAGCACAGCGAGTCTCGCTGCTTACTTGCCGTTGAGGACCGGCCAACTCTCCTGGATATGTCACCAATACCTTCGCAATCTCTCATTACTTTCTGTGCAGTGGACGCTAAATTCGACGCTCGAGCAACAGATCCTTGCTGGTATGTCTCTACCAGCCGAGGAGGACCTGGTATTAGAGGCGAGACGATGCGTACAACGAGTGCAACAGGGCTTGAAGATGACGGGGATTGAGTTGCAGACTGCCCTACTTTGAAATACCCCAACAGCTTCTCGTTATAGGGACATGATGCCTGTTCTGAATACCAACGCTTGATGCTGTCACCAGTATCCTCCTCATTCTATCATGTGTCACGCGAAGCTTCTGTCCCGGCGATGTTCAGCCCATCTTCCGATCGCGCCAGACATCGAAAACAAGGACAAACGGGAAGTGTTTCGCAGGACAGCCAGACATGCGATGCCCAGAGTTCCTCCGCCTATAGCACCTCTGCCCTTGAAAGGCAAGTGATCCTCCATGGGAAGTCAGACGCCACCACTAACTTAGAAAACATGCACCGGCACCAAAGTCGTGACGAGTTGGCGCAGCATACACTTTCGCCAGGTCCCGATAATTCTGCCGGTGTGCCATATGATCTTGTTGCCATCGGCTTATGGCATGAACTGATGTTTGGAGCGGTGTACTGAACAAACTATTGTTGGCAACCCATATCGCCGAAGGATTCTCTTGGCCGCCAGGAGTGGTGCTGCTGGGAGTCACATGTCCTGTCACTGCGGTGTCGCGGCGTTGCGACAACGACTCACAAGTGAGGTTCTGCGGTGTAACATCTGACGACGGTCACCTAGCTCGAACACGCAGCGACAGCGGGGCCGTGAAAAGGGTGACAATCGAGCCAAACAGGCGAGCTCCACTCAGAATAACCCGGTGGTGGCCAACAGAGTAACCCTGGCTCTTCCATAATCACTACTCTGTACTTGTCCACACGACTTTGACTTGAGACCGATAACATGGATGACCTCTGTCAACTCGACGAGTCCATCTTCCAGGAAGATGAGAGTCTGGTCGATCGGATGGAGCGACTAAAACCAAGATTCGACATGACCAACGCATCTCTCACATCGATCTGTGGACATCCGCGCATTTCTATTCACTCACAAGACGACAAAGCGTCCCGAGAAGAAACAATCATGTTCAACCTCCTGATTGAACTTATCAACGTTTCTGATCAAGAATATGTGTGTTGTGCCTATACGACTATCGCACCCATCGCAAACTGATCCACAGAACAGGATCGAAGCACCGCAGCCTCAGCTGCCGCCCATGCGACAAATGCACTCTTTATCTCCATGACCCCAGATCCGTCACGGCGACAGACAGAAAAGTACTCATATGGTGCTCTATGGACAATATATTCCGAACTGTTCAACTTCATAAAGCAGATACCAGTCGAGCACCATGCGATGCAAAGGCTAGTTGACTGGGTTGCCGAGTTGAGAAAGATACACGTACAGACGTTACATATCTGGGGCAAAGACATTGAATTGTGGAAAGGCTTGCCGCTGCTGAATCCGGAGTGGGTCGAACTATGCCAGGAATACTGTGGACCACGAGAGGTCATGCTGAGCAGGAGGTTCAGAACCTTTCGAGATCTGTTAGAATCAAGTGGAGGTTACACACTCTATAATTATTGGAAGTAGTGTTGCAGACCCGATACTGTGTGGGTCCTTGGAGTTGATTAAAGAGCAGTAAATGTTAGACAAGAGTGTCAAGGCAAACATAGTTACAGATCATGACTATGACAAGCGATCAAGCTAGCTTGAGATCGTCAGGAATGTGATGTGCTTCGCCGACCGCTTCTTTCAGCGCAAGCACAAGCTCGTCCACGCCTGACAAGAAGCCGAGATATGCGCTCATGCAAACAGTATAGCCCCTCACACCCTCCTTCTGCAACACTTCTATGGTCAAATTCTCGACAGCCGCTCCGTGTCCATGCTCCAAACATTTTTTGAGCAATGGTGTTGGTAGTCGCGCAGGCAATGGGTCACCAGTCTTCAGACTTTGAGCCACGATGCCGAGGACAACCATGACATCCGCGATGGCACGGTGATCGAGGATACCAGATGCAATGGCGAATCGGCGACGAAGTTCGGGAGAAAGCGTGGCGGCGCGTATGTGCAGATGGGCAAGCTGATAGTTGATGAACTCAGCGATCGACTTGATGCGACTACACGTGGTCGAGTCGAAGACACTGGAAGACATCTCGAACTTCAGACTGCCGATGGGCGCGCCCAGGGCGCCTAGCTCGCCGGCGACCTGGATGGTCACCGCCTCGACTGCGACAGTGTGTTTGTTGTGAGCATCAAGGTCAGACCAGGAAGACAGCAGTGCAGCGTAGTGATCGGCTTCGCGGTCCAGCACACCAGAAAGCCTGCGGGCGATATTTCGTGAGAGCGACGACGGCCAGGGAAGCAGCGTCACAATGAAGCTAATTCCGAATCCGACAAGCACCAGAACCGTACGGCGCCAGAAAACCTCATAGCCATATCCGGGGTTGCCGTAGGTAGGAAGGTGAGTGTCGATGTACCCGTAGCCGATGACCAAAATGGTAGTGGATCCACCAATCATGACTGCTTGTATGAGCTGAGGTGGTGTGTACAGGCGGAACCACATGAGGATTACTGCGTAGACAGCAAGGACAGCTGCGAGGCCATAGGGATTTCCAGGACCGTTTCCACTTCCGATGTACCTGATTTGTTAGCGACTCTTCCATGAGATCGGGCTTGCGTAAAACTCTTACCATCCCAACATTCCGAGTACACCTCCAGCGATGGTGCCAAAGATTCTGGTTACCAATGCGAAGTTGAATTCGGCAGAAAAAGTCGCTGTACCGGTCTGCGCCATGATGAGCGCCCACAATCCTTTCTCGCGATAATAGAAGCCCGCCGACGTTGTACACGCTGCAGGTATGGCTGCCGCAAGAGTGGCGACAAGTACACGGAGAGCGAAGATGCCCTCGTCGTTGCTCAGCCAGTGTCCGAAGCCAAGGATCACGGCAGAGAACTTGTTGCGCTTTCTTGTTGGCTTGTGCACTCGCTTGAAACTCTGCTGTACTTCCTCGATGGTTGCTTTGTCGGCTTGAGGCATGTCGTCGACAGTCGGAGCTCCGATGGCTGGTGCACGAGAGCCACCGAATGCCCAAGCACCGAATTTGCGCAGGCTTGTTGGAAGCCACATCCGAACAGTGGTACGTTCCTTTTCGAGGAGAGTAATTTGCTCCAAAGCTCGTTCGAGGGCTGCGGCCAAGATCAAAAGTCGATCTTCGAAATTGAAACCGAAGAACATGCCAACCAGCTTGTGTCTTTCGGAGGTCTGACCATGGAATCTACCATTTTCGTCAAACAGGTGTTGATGCGAAGCGAAGAGCGCCTCGTTGGCGACATTGGGGAAATTGGACTTCTCGCCGCGTAGACGTTCGAGCACATCTACGTGCGACTGTCTCATTTGAGCAAATTGCTCAGCAGACATTCTGCCGAACCATCTTTTGCTGTTGTTCTCGTGGATACTGTGAGCTATGGCTTCAAACGCATCTTTACAAGCCTCAAGCAGAGGATTGCTAGCTTGCGACAATGCTTGATATGAATCAGCAACAGAGCGGCCGACTTCTGGATCGCGAAGTGCGTCGATGAGGTTGAGACTCTGCATGACTTGATGTTTGCCATACATGTGTTTCTTCTCTTTTTCTTCCGCTTCAGCTAGCTCCTGTGTCCTGACATCGTTGGATGTAAGGTGCTTCATTCTCTCCCGAGAGCGGCCCTGGAGGACCTCAAACGCAAGCAGACTCATGGAGCCGATCATGACGCGGCGGATTGGCTCTCTCAAGGAAGCGATGTCTTGAGCACTCCAGTGACCAAAGGAAAGATCAAAGGACAGGAAGCCAAACGCAGGCTCCAAGGCAGCCCAGCCTCCAAGAACACCGGCTCTCAGAGCCTGCATAGGTTCCATGTGCGATGTGTCTGGATAATTCTCAAGAAAACTTCGAGTGAGGTCAAGAGAGCCGGCCATGGATGTGACAAGTTTGTGCATACTAAAGAGCGTCAAGTGTGAAGTCGATTCTGGGAAGATGAGTATGGAACAAGCGAAGCTGATTGCAACACCGGCGGCGGCTGGTTTGATGAGCACTTGAGGAATGGTACCTTGGAACGAAGGGAGCAGAGGGCCGATGGTGAGAAAGATGTCAGTGATGATCCAGGCAAAGATGGCGGTTAGCGTGAGTTTGGGGACTTTGATCCTGAGCCTTGCCATGAGATATACGAACAAGCCCAACATGCAGAATAAGGTGACAGTGATACGCGTGTCCAGCATGAAACCATTGTAGACAAGGACGCTCGCAGGAGAGTAGGTCGTCGCGCCTGTATTCCTCGCGGCTTCTATTCCCAAGGCCTGCAAGCGAGCCTGAGTCTCTGCTTGTGGCCTTGTCGCTTGGGCTGCTTTCATTGCGATCACGCCCCATGCCCATCCCAGGGCCATGCCCAATATCAAAGTGAAGCCGCCCAGCAGGATAACCAGTACGACGCCGGACGGAGGCAGGAACATGATGGTGATACAGGCGAAGAATGTGGCATTGCCGAACGTTCTCAGCGTGGGATCGATGACGATGAGCAGCGAGGCAGCCCAGAATGCGACCGAGCAGCGGAATAAGATCTTGAGGTCGCGCGCATTGAAGTGGTCGAGGAACGGTGGAAGCTTGCTCTTCTTGTGGCTTGATGATCTGGCTGTTGCACTTGTGTTGGTCTGGTGCAACGACGGCGAATTGCCGTTGCGCGACTCTTTCTCTGTCGCCGAGCCACTGGGCTCACGGTCGGAAGACATGGTCGTCTGTCGCGACCTCTACGAGATGTCTATGTCGTCGAGTCGAGGGTGGTTGGAGGATGCTGTCGCGGCCCGGACGGTCGTTGTTGTCCAGTATCCAGCAGGCGCCGAGCTCAAAGTCGTCGCTGTGCGACAACCGGCAGATCCAAACTGCTTGATGGTCGAGCGCAACGGGATGAGAAGGAGGAAGGAGGAAACAGGCTGTGATGGAGACCTACAAGCAGCGTTCCTGATGGGAGCTGAAACCTAGGCACTCGACTGTTTATCATGGCAACTGCCAATCTTCGTTCAGACGGTACCAAGCTATTGCGAGAAGTCTATTTGTGCATCAGTCGATACATCCCTTAGGCAAGCACAATGCAGCTCTTGCGAGGTTGAGAGCCGCTTCGACAGCCATTACCCCACTCGATCGAGGACTGAGGTGAGCTTTCGTTGACGCAGCGCATCGTCTGTGTCGGATTTGTGAGGCAAGTGGGGGTAGTTGTGCGAGAAATTCGGCTTCGTAGGCTTCCCGGGCTGGATGCGTGTTGCACAAATCTTCATAACATGTGCTCAGATGCACGGTAAGTCAGATGCCGACCTGGTTGGAAACACATCCGAGCATCCCCTTCGCACCGCTACGTGGAAACGTTTGACCACAACAGAGCTTGACCGGATTCAATGACAATAATAATCATCCGGATGCCTCTGCAGACCTTGGTGAGAGCATTTCATCTTGGCCAAATGCAAGCGGGGCGACGCTTCATATCTACACCCACATTCTCACTGATTTTGGTTCCCAAGGTGTGACGTTCCCCAACAACGCCAGTGTGTTTCTGAAAGATGTTTTATTCTGCGACGCAGCCTTGATGCTAATTTAATCATGCTTCTTGATGAACGACACAACACCCTCGACGAAACTTGCCGGATTCTCCTCGGCAGTCCAGTGGCCGCTTCTCGATACGACAACCTCTGCAGCTTTCTCGTAAAACTCATTTGTCTGGTCCATCGCAACCTCCCTGAGCAGACTCATCTCACCGCTCAATGCCGCTGAGGGAACCTTGGACTTGCCATCACGTTTTAGCATGGCCTGGTTGTCCTTTGCGTCTTGCGGGAACGCACGATACAAGTCGAAGCCGGCCCTCATGGCGCCAGGCTGACAGAAGCTGGAGCCATAGTGCTCGACGTCTCTTGGCCCAATGCCTGCAGGGTTGAAGCAAAGTCTGTCGTAGAAATGCTTGATGTAAATCTTCTCTTTGCCCTGAGTGAGCATTTCGGGAAGGTCCAGTTGTTGTTGGAAGGTGAAGTGCCACATCCCTGGGGAATTTTTGAAACCTGACTCGTAAGGGGTCGAGCCGGGAAGTGGGCATTCACCAAACATGACTGAGCGAGTGTGGTCCGCGTGACTTGCAGCATAGGCGTGTGCGACCATGCCGCCGATGTCTTGTCCGACAACATGAATCTTGTCTTTGATGCCNNTTAAGATTCGTCAGTCATCGCCCGAACACAGCATGGCGTGCTAGCAAATCGTACCGAGATGATCATGAACGACCCTGTAGAGGTCATCGGCCACTGTCACCTTGTCGTAGCCAGACCTGGGATGATTGTTGTCGCCAGCACCACGATAGTCTGGGGCAATCACTCTGTAGCCAGCATTCGAGATTGGTGTGATGACGTGGCGCCATTGATACGATGTGTTTGGGTAGCCGTGGATCAGCAGCACGGTGCCTTTTGCGGACTTCGTCTCTGGAGGGCAGTCGATGTAGTGGATCCTGACTTCTTTGGCCTCATCAACAAAGGCAAAGCCATGTTGCCATCGCTCGTCGTCAATGTGGGTAGGATTGAGGGAAGGCATGTTCGAATGACCAGAATGAGAGACGAATGGCTCGAGTTGCTCTGGAATCACTGGCGATCTCGAACATATACACAATGACGGTGCTGCAAGACAGACATTGATGCGAGGATCTTCCATCAGGGTAGCTGTCAAACAACTTGTGGGGTCGAGTGCGGGGCTGCCGAAATTCGGAGAGCTGACGCTTTCTGCCATGAATTGTGTCGCAACGGTTTTTGTAAAGGGGAAATTATTAGCGCCGCCTGTTCTTAGTTTGGTCCCTAGTTTTCTCCGAAAAACTTTCGACAAGCAGTTGTACTTTTCCCCGCAACAGCAATCTGGAATGTTGCGCTCGGTACGCCATCTCTGACAATTACATTATCGTAGATCGTATCGGCATGACCGAGCCATGTCTTGTCGGCAAACTGGACATTCTGTAGAGGATATTTGCACCTAAGTAGTAGAGTTAGATTGCCAAACGCAAACCATTGAGCAAGTCTGAATCCTGGTCATGAACAGATAACTTCTTTGTGGTAAGAAAAATTGCTTGGTCTCCAGATACTGTTCCATATTAATGAACACAGGCATAGTGGAAGTCAAGTGCTCGGCTGTCTGTATCAAAGAACAGATACGAAGCCATTATAACTTCATGCTGTCTTCCAATGTTTGTTGACAATTTCTCTGACATCCTCCACAATACCATCAGGGCATTCAAGGCAGGCAAAGTGTCCACCATCATCTCTCTCCCTGTAGAACACCAAGTTACCTGTTCTTTCTACAGCTCTCTTCGAGCTCGGCTCAGTATCCCAGTAGAAGCTGGTGTATCCAAACGGGCTCTTGATCCTGTTCTCTGGCTTCATTGCAAATGCGGCAAAGTTCTCGTGTCTCACGTTCTCGTAGTATGGCAGGCTGGAAGTCATGATGCAGTTGCTGAAGTAGTAGATCGAGACGGTCGTCAGGATGTGCTTTTTCCACTCCAAAGACTTTTGCTTTTCTGGATCAGCAGCCTCATTGTATTTTTCACCAAGCCAGACCATGATGCCAATAGGGTTGTCTTGCAACATCCAGCCAATCGTGTGTGGACGGGTCCTCATCATGATGGCGTAGCCCATATGGTTCTCGAGCCAATTATCCACCCGACCTTGCACTTCCTTCTCACGAGCAGTCAACTCAACGTTCTCAGGCAGAGGCGCTGGTGCAAAATTGAAGTGTACAACCTTGCAAGAGTCTGAGTAGTTTGCACCAAGCTCGCGACCAATCCAGTGCCCCCAATCGCCAGTCTGGACACAGAACATGTCGTAACCAAGACGCTGCATCAGTGTATGGAAGAGGCGAGCAGTTTGCTGCAGCTTCCATCCCTTTGGTGGCCGACTTGACCACCCGAATCCAGGAAGGCTGGGTACAACGCAATGGAAGGAAGGCGATGCAGAGCTAGAGCTTAGCTTGTTGATGACTTGGCTGAATTCGTAAAAAGAGCCTGGCCAGCCATGAACGAGCAACAGAGGTACCGCATCTGAGTTCTCCGATCGATGATGGATGAAATGGATATTGAAGTCTTCGATATCAGTTGTGAAGTGATCCCACTGGTTGATCTCCTTTTCCTGCTCCCGCCAGTTGTAGTTCTCGGTCCAGACTTGATACAACTCGGTGGCCCATTGCGTGGTAAAGCCATACTCGTTTCCCGCATTCGGGACGATGTCTTGCGTTGGAACACGTGTGTCTTTGATCTTGCGATAGTATCGTCGAACTTCATCATCAGGAATGGCAATCTTGAATGGTCGGATCTCGGACGACATCTTTGAAACAATGATAGATGATGGATGTGCTTGAGCGAAACGTGTTGTTCACACAAGTTGACAGGATGTCGAGCTCAGATCAAGAGTTCCCGTGTCGCGATCTTCGGCGTCGCCGGAGCAAAGGCCGTTGTTCAACCCCGCAACGGTCTTCACCACCCACCTTTTTCCAAGTGATCCATCTGACGTGTCGCCGTGTTTCAAGTGTTTCCTGTGCGTCCCGGATGAAGGAAGCGCTTCGGTTAACTCTGCGGGTGCCGCAAGAAGAACATGTACACCGGCTATCAAGCCACATACGCAGAACCATCCCGCACGTTTGACCACGTTGGCGCCTTGTATTGCGTCTTTCGGACAAGCTTTGCAAAAGCATGTGTCGTGGCTTGGACTTTGCAGCAACTACAGCGACCGGTCTCGCCCGCCATGGTTGATGTGAATAGAGAGGACTCGGAGAACATTCGCGGTACCTATCGCACTCATCACCTCCTGGAGACCTCGATGCACATTGCGCTTGCCGCGCCTGTTCTAGCTCATCGACGACCCCAGTATCCCCAGACCCCGCATCTTCTCACGCGTCTCAACCGTAACCTTGTACATCTGGTGGGACTGTACGGTTCACGGTCACCTGGGAGAGAAGTATATCTCAGTGCTGTGGGTCCCGAATCACACCTACAGCAGAACAATTATATATACAGCACTTGAGTCCCCCAAATCAGACACCATCGTCAGACCTCAAGCGACATTCCATCTATACTCTATACATTATTCATCATGGCGGGCTACCTCGATGGCATCCAGGGCAAGACGCTCTACAGGATCATGAGTGCAGCTTGTGGTGCTGCTTTCATGCTCTACGGTTGGGACGCTGGCGTCCTTGGAGGCATCCAGGAGACTCCTCAGTTCCGTGCAGCGATTGGAAATCCACAGGGAGCNTTTTGTAAGTCTTGATTCATGAGCCACTGCTTGGAATCTTCTGACAATTTTTTGCTTGATCAGATCATTCCTGTCATTGCCTCCATCTACAACCTTGCTGCAGGAGTCATGTCTCTCTGTGTTAGTTTCTACGGCATGCAGATCGGCAGAAAGGGCACCATTCTGCTCGGATGCCTGCTCATCTGCATTGGTGCACTCCTCCAAGCTTCGACATACTCTGTTGGGCAAATCATCGTCGGTCGTATCGTTACTGGAGCTGGAATTGGAAATATCGCTGCAGCAGTTCCAACATATATGGTATGAGTTCCACAATCTTGCCGGCTGTATTATCGCTGATTGGTCGTACAANNGGCCGAAATGTCGCTGGAAGCGAAAGAAAGAGGACCTGAGGTCTCGTACCAACTTGCTCTCTTGATCAGTGGTGTCGCTCTTGCATACTGGATTGACCTCGGCTTCGTGCAAGGGCTCGACAGACATCCCTGGCTCTGGCGTATTCCTCTAGCCCTTCAAAGTTGCTTTGCAATCTTCTCTGCAGTCTTGTTATTCATGCTGCCCGATACACCAAGATGGTACTATGCCAGAGGTTACGAAGCTCGTGGTGACAAAGTTCTCGCTCGCCTTCACGCGTTGCCAGTCGAACACGAGTCTGTGCAGGCTGTCAAGGCGGATATTATTGCATCGCTTGAGGAGGAAGATGACACTGGCAAGATCAGCATAGTCACTCTCTTCTGGGACAACACCGAGCTGCAGTTTGGTCGTCGTTTGCGTACTTCGTTCCTGATCAACTGGGTATGTGCATCCATCTACCGTGCTTAGTCCGAGCTTTGCGCTGACCCAACGACANNGGCTCAACAATTCCTTGGTATCAACATGCTGGTGTACTTCTCCACGCAGATCTTCAGTAACCTGCATTACTCTCCGCTTCTTTCAGGCATCCTGGCTGGTGTGCTGAACACCTGTTTCGCCGTTGCATCGTTCCCGCCAATCTACTACATCGAGAAAGTCGGCAGACGTGCTATGATGATCTGGTGAGTGCCTATAAAGACCTATCGGAGGGTGAATCCGAGGCTGATACTCTTTTCTCTCAGGTCTGCTCTCGGCTGCGGTGTTTGCATGCTGATATACGTTATCCTTACGACACTTCCCGCCAGCAAATCCTCTGTCGGTACCAACTGGGCTGCTGTCGCAATCATCATCCTTTACGAAGTCGTCTTTGCTTTCGGTTGGCTAGGCACTTGCTGGGTGTATGGTCCGGAAATTGCTCCTTTGAAGTACCGTCACGTCGCTGGCAGTCTCGGAGCTGCGGGTGAATGGTTCTCTACCTTCGTCATGGTGTTCGGTGGTGGTACTGGTATCAACGCCGTTGGACCCAAGATCTTCATTTGGCCTCTGTTGTGCTGCTTCCTCGCCGCGGCTTATGTTTACTTCTTGTGTCCTGAGAGTAAGTTGTACCCGTTGTTGTTGTTGCTCCTGGTCTGTGGCAAGTTGTACTGACTGCTGTGAACAGCCACTGGAAAGACACTCGAAGAGATTGATGCTTTGTTCGCTCGTTCTCCCGAAGTCCGCGAGAGACTGGAACGCGATATTGCCGCACGTAGAGCAGGAGGTATGCCACCAAGCATGAAACTATCACCGCGCGACTCAAGCGACATGTCAAAGATGGAGGTTTCGACCGTTGAGAAGATCTGATCGCGACTCGGTGCGGTCCTTCCTGGGGTGCGTTTGGAGCTGGACGGCCCGACGGGATCCTCGAACCCGCGGCAAATATTTCGTATCTAGAAGTGACCATCAAATAACTTTCACAACGTCCCTAATGATCTCCATTAGCTAGACGTCTTTGGATCACAAAGCAACAGTGAATTAACCAGCGGGACAGGAATTATATGCGGACACATATAGAGGCTGCGTGGAGACTTATCCGAACCAAAGCCACTACAAACCTCAAGACCTAAGCCTCTCGGGACCGCTTCTATCACTGCTCGATTGATCACTTGTGCGACATACCTGCATATCGTTATGTTCGACTTCAAGGATTTGCTTCAATTCAGACCGAATGAGATCAGAACCTATCACAGCAAGACTTATGATCTATCTCGCCAACAAAAACGACATTCGAAGCAAAGGGGAAGACTCTTCTTATCACTGCTGGTGGTATGCTGTATCACACAATCGTGATGTTGTCATTTACTAAAGATTCTGTAGCAACTGGAATTGGTTACTCTATCTCTCAATCGTTTGCGGAAGCAGGTATCGCTCGTGTCATCATCCTCCAGCGTAGCGAGTCGGTCCTTGCTGTTGCAAAGGAAGCCATCGAAAAAGCATATCCCAACACGAAGGTTGGAACTTTCGTCGCTTCTCAGGCTGACTTTAAGCGAGTGACTGAGGTCATTCAAACCGTGGGCGAGATCGATGTTGTTGTCGCTGGTGCTGCAAGCGCAGGCGGCTCATCCGGAATGACAGTCGCAAAGGACACTTCGACCGATGACATGGCTGAGATCTACAACACAAATGTCATTGGCGTACATCACCTCATCCGTGAGTTCTTGGCCCTGCCATCGACTGCCAGCGGGCCAAAGAGTTTCATCCACATTTCTTCAAATGGAGTCTAAATGTATTACCCCGGTGGTAGTGGATATAGCAGCTCCAAATCTGCAGCGACCAAGCTGGTCACACACTATACAGTCAAACTGCCGGATGGCAACGTTAAATTCTACAACTTCCATCCTAGTGCAATTAAGTCTTTACTATCTAAGGAAAACGTAGAGATGGACATTGCCTAGAAGGAAGGTATGTTATAACTTACAAATCTTAATAAGGCTTATAGATCGATACTAAAACAAGTGGGTAACTAGTCCGGATTCCGGGTAACTTTGCTATCTAGCTTATAAGTCTAGAGGCGACTTTCTTAAATAGCTGCTTTATATGGGCTAAGTAGAACGTTAATAGACTTATTACTATAGAGAATAAGTTAGTAAGTAATCTAACCCTAATAATAGTTAATATTAAGAGATAGGTATAAAAGATAATATAACTTATAGTATAGTAGTAAAGATAGCTAAGTAGAAAACAGTATATATAGCTAATAATAATAGAATAAAACTACTACTAGTATCTATAGCTATATTATTTAAACTAAATCTAGTAAGGCAAAATTACTTAGTATACTAGAAATAGTAATTTCTATTCTAGCTTAGAAATATTAGTCTAGGGTTAGACTTTTTATAGCTAATTATTATACTTTCTTATATATATATTAAAGAGCTTTCTTTTCTTATTAGTTTTATATATAAAGTATTCTAAAACATAAAGTTTTAGTAGAGATAATTAAGAAAGAAAAACAAATATATCTATTAGTTAAACCTTAGAAATTCTAAGTAATAATAATTAATTATTATTACTAAGTAATATGTTTTTAAGATATATATAATCTTTATTTTTATCTTTTAAAATATTATAAGAATATTACTATATCTATATAGTAAGGCCCCTACTAATAGTAAGGCTTTTACTAAAAAAAAAAAAAGGCTAGTAAAAAGACTATAGCTATTAATTAAAACGGCGCCTTAAGTAAAAGACCTTAACTACTTACGGTAAGGCTATAGCTATTACCCTTATATATATTATAATAAGACCTTTACTACTAGTAGTAAGGCTATACCTATTATCCTAATATTAGAAGTTCTAAAAATTAAGTCGATTTCTTTGTATTTTGGCAAGAGATTAGGGTTTAGGGTTTTGTACTTAAGTCGATTTTTTTGCTTTACTTAAGTCGATTTTTTTGCCTTAAACCACTTATAATAGGCTAAAAATTTATATTATACTAAGACTAGTGTACTCTATCTATATACCTAGTCTCGTCTATATACATATAATGGTAATGCTATTATTAAATAGTTGTTTATACGCTAAACGCTTTTTTAAGATGCTATATATAAGGATTTACCCTATAGGTACCCTATAATCGCCATATGTAGTCCTAGGCATAGACAGCTATCTATAGCTATCGATCTTAGACTGCTTATACATAAATACATACTAATAGGTAAGCGTAAGGTGCATAATAAGAGTTAGTCCGGTTCCTATAGCAATAACAAAACCCTAGTTATATTAACTCTATGTAAGCTATAAACATAGCTATGTTTATTTACTAATTAGTAGTAACCCATTGTCTTTCTAACTATTATAGACGAATTTTCCCATCTTTTCGACCTTAATTATAAGCATCGAATTCTTATATGCTTAACCTACTAATATGCTATAGTGCCTTCCTAAGCTAGAACGCATCTATAGATCTACTATAAGCGCGTTAGCCTCTAGTAGCGGAACGAGATCTTATCTAAAGTCGAGGCCGCATCCGAGCTTACTAGGATTTATTAAGATATTATCTACCTAGCTACGACTAATCCCCCTCTAGCTAGCCTTCTAACATACTTTAATGGTCTAAAATGTTATAGCACCGAGACTCTAGGTCTAGCTTGCTCCTATATATGTCGCATAGTATATAGGATGCGTAAGCACTATAGATAGAAGCATAGTTAGATTAATAAATAAAAGCGTAGAGGCGATTCTTAGAAAAAATAGACGTATACATAAAACAGGATCTAGACTAAGAACCATGCATGTTAACGATTCTTTAAAGCCTCTACCTAGTAGAAATACTTTAAAGTTGCCTATTAAGACGTAGAGGATAGTAAATAGCAATAAATAGCCTAAACAAATAGTTTCTTCCGCTTATAAAAAGACGACATCTAATAGGTAGAGCGCGATGCTACTAAAGATGCTAATCGAGTATAGGGGTTTAAAGACTATGTCTCTACTATAGTTCCTTAGTTAAGAGAGACAGGCATTACTAAATACATACAAAATCTCTAGAAGGACGAAATTCGAATAGCGATCGCCGTTCCTATGCTAGGGGATAAGAGTAACCTTTGTACGATTATTAATACTATGTAATTACTTCTATAAGAGGCTTATTGGTTATGCTTCGACGGACCTAAATGTATGTTAACCTACTAATGTTAAGTTATTCTTAGTCGCTTCTAATCATTATAAGTCGATCTATAAGGTAAGACTAGACCATTCGATCTATATAAAGGGCCTAAGAGCCTTAAGACATACTTTAGGATAGCGTATTGGTTTGTGTCGTACTTTAGCAAAGTTACCGCTCTTAATAAGTACTACTTTAGTATAGAAACTAAAGATAGCGATAACATATAAAGACCTAAAGACATTATCGAGGCTATAGACGAGTAATTAGTAGTATGGCAGGATATATAGCAGATTGTCTAGCGAATAAGAACAAGCCCTACTAAAGAAGACAAGCATGCGATTAATAATATAGAGGATAGAGAGAAGTTAAAGAATCGACTCTTAAAGCTTTAGATGCTTCTTATCTACTATATAATAGGCGCTTGCCGATATAAATTACCGTTATTAAGCTTCTATGCTATGCTAAGCATTAAGCCGTCGACAAAAAGCTAGATGGAACCTAGCAACTTTAATAGCAGTCTCTTAGCCATTATATGGATTATGTAACTACTAATCTTCTACGATAGTGCCTTAAAAGAGTAGTAAGGCTATAGATAGACGCTTAGCCTTATAAAAGCCTACTATAACGGGTATCTATAACAAACTATTAAGACACCAATAGAAGAGATTCTTAGGTAGCGTCTATTGCTATTTAAGGTGTTAGGTGCTAGTGTTAGCACTTATAAAGCGTCTTAGGACGAGAGTAAGGAGGTTCTAACCTATAAGGATATAGAGCTACGTATAGATTAGATTCCATCCTTACTTACATCTAAGTACTAGGGTTACTATTAGCTTCTCTACGACGATCTAATGCTAGGTCTAAAGGACCTTCGCCGAATAAGCCCTTACTTACTTAAAGATAGTGTTAATGTTAATATCGTCCGGTAGAACTTTACCTAGTATAGGGATAACATAAACACCCTTAATAGCATAGAACGTGCTTTAATAAAAGCCATTAAACGGTCTAAATAACTATGTCGAATCTTCCTTATTTAGGGAAGTTAGTTATCTAGCGGATAGGCATAGAGGGAGAGCGCGATAGCTAGTTACGAAGCTACCGTATAAGAGTTTCTTAAGCGACTAAGCGTCCTTATATATATTAGTAGTAGATAGCCTATCCGCGAGAGCGAGTTTTTCTCTATAACATATTATAACACTTAGCGGCAACGGTCGATTATTATTTGCTTCGACCGTATAATAATCTACGTCTAGTACCATAAAGGCTAGTAGTAAATAGGGAACTATAAGGATAACGTTTGCTTCCTTACTGTTATGGCCAACTATTAGGGTTTTAGGGTTAGGGTTAGCAAACACTCTATTATGCTTCTATCTAAGCTATTCTTGCTCGTCTAACTACTTTCTATATAAAAAAAAAAAAACGGAGGAAAGGGGGTAAAAAGATAAAGGAAAGTAATAAAGGAAAGGGGGTCTATCTAGTCTATGCCATATCCTAGCTAGTCTCTAGCCCGGAGTCTTACTAGAGTAGTAGAGATATACTTATCTAGCCACTCTAAGGTGCTAGGACTAAGGGACTTTTGGAATTCCTTATAGGTTTATAAGGTCTCCTTCCCTAGGAGGCCTCCTTAGCTAAGGATAAACGGCTTAAAAGCTCGGCCTAGGGTTTAGTATTTAAGTTTCTTAGCCCTTTCCGCGGCTAACAA